ATTTTTAAAATAAAAAAAAAAAAAAAAAAAAAAAAAAAAACTGACCTCTGATTATTTTAAATTAAAGTCAGGAGTCATACACGGTGATTTTGTTTTTAATGAAAGGAAAGCCTACCCCTGGAGTCGAAGCTGACCATGGCTATAAATGGCTCTGAAACCTCTAGATTTGCTTGACTCCACATTCTGCTCTTCCATTTGGATACAAGCCAGCACTTGGCTTTCTAATTGCCCCTCCTACATCAGTTTTCTCTTTGCAGCTTCCACTAAAGAGAATTTGGACTTCTATTTCAGGTTTCTTACTTTCTCTCTGAAATCGATCTGAAGAAGGACAGCATGTGGCTTTTTATATGTCCCATTGCTTTGGAGCAAGGATCCCAGTGAGGTTTACGGAACTTCCTTCTTTCTCCTAAAAATAAGATAGGCTCCAAGGGCGTCTCAGAAATGCTTCTACTTATCTTTGCTCAGCACCTTACTTCAGGATGGAGCTGGATCTAGGAAGGAGTAAGACCCAGCCCTTGCAGAGGAGCAAGACAGATGCACAGACAGAACCTTCTGGGAAACAATGCCGGATATGCCACCATAGAGAGATGAACTGGGCTCTCAAAGGGTAGAGCTGACCTTGGTATGTCTGTCTGGTGACACCAAGACAGACCTCACAGTGGAGATGTGAGATACTTAGGCTGAGGGCAAAACTAATTCCCTGCCATTGCATTTCACTCTTCATTGAACCCTCTTGGGATCCTTTTGTCCTACATGATTAGACCTAGTATGAAACTTAACTACGGCGTTTCCCTCAGGGCTTGGACAATTCTGAGAGTGCCTGTAATTAGTCTGAAAAGTCAGGATGAAGGTGTGTAACCTGCCTCTGTGGCCTCAGGCATCCCACGGCCACGCTGAATCCCTGCTCCCGAGTAGCTCAGGAGTGTCTCTTGAGAGCTGTGTTCCAACAGTTGCCCGTGCAGAGGGGGTTGTGATGGGTGTCTGACAAAACTGATTGCAAAGCGCTTTTCTCTCCATGAATGATTCCTGCTAACCATGACAGCAAGTGAGTAATGAGCAGTCAAACCTCTTACCTGGGATGTTAGTCACAAGCTCTCTTGAGCAATCACAGGTCAGCTCTTTAGACCGTTGTGGGTTTCTGTTAGCACTTGTTTCTGTTGCCCAAGAAAATCCTTTCTGAGCCCTCAGCAGGCATAACGGCGTCGGGAGAATTCAGAAACTCAGTAACCTTGTTTGGAAATGTGGGTGAGAGTGCTCTGGGCTCAGGTCGACACAGGCCTGGACCACTGGGCTGGGACATGATGGCTGTAAAGCCAGCCTTGCAGACTTAGCCCCACAGCCTTTCTCTCTCCTAGGGCCACAGACCCTCGTGCCTGCCCTCAGCCAGCTGTCACACTCTTGTCTGCCCTCAGTCCTAGAAGAGCTGGGGGACCTGGCACTAACAGGGCTTCCCAAGTCAGAAACTACTTGTAGAAGAACAGCAGAGAGGGCCTGTGTCCCCAGCATGTTTCTGTGATTCCACCTTCACGTGAGCTCACTATGCTGTGCTCTGTGTGTGTGTGTGTGTGTGTGTGTGTGTGTGGCAGGGCCGGGGGGGGGGGGGCGACCCCCGGGCCCACCCCCTTGGAGACAGCC